TAGTTCGGAAAGTTACCTAGCAAAAGATCAAAATGCCTCTCCTTAAAAGGCTATATATAGACCCCATCATTTCTCTTGGGAAAGAAAGAAGCGAAGGTCGAACGAGTAACCACTGACTTCTATTGCTGACCGTCGATCACCAACAGTCTGCGATCACTGCTTCAACCTTTGTATTCAAACCATGAATTTTATTTCTGACACATATGTTTTATTTGTGTTGTATAAGGATAAGTGTATGTTTTGTGTAAGATTGTATCCTCGTTCTCTCTATCTTGAGAGAATGATACACCTCTACACTTACAAACACATAATGGGTTAATTTGACATGGCTAGAATTAGCAAACCTTGTTATATTGTAAAGAGAATCTCAATTGATGAAGTTTAATTGATGTCATTTTTTATTCTACTGCACCTCTTTATGGCTTTGATAACTAGCTTCTTAAAGTTGGGGGAACAATCAATATCCTTGTCAAATTGGGAATATTTCCTTGATAAATGACTCACCTAATTCAATTTATTGTTGTCACATTAGACTTGGCATACAATGCCACCATTGGAAGAAATATCCAATCAATCTTTGGTGTCGTGGCTTATATATCATGCCTCAAGATAAAGTTTTCAGCATCATTCAAAGTTGGCATTGTACATGAGAATAAGAAAATGGTACAACCATGCTACATCAGACAAGCTCAACTACTCCAATCAGTAACCTTTAGTACCAAATTTTTTTATCATGAGGATGAAGATATATCCCAGTGGATGTTTCTGGTAGAAGCCTTGGTATGTATTCTTCTATCAAAGGAACATACTTCATAGATAATGCAACTTGGATCTCTATTATCCAATGAACAAGAGTTGGAATATGTGAAATTTCTCCACAAAAATCAAAACACATTTTCTTGGAACCTTATAGATATGTTAGGAATTGACTATAAAGTAATTATGCATTCCTCAAAGATAAACCCCACATTCAAGTTGATAAAAAAAAATACAACATAACGCCGACAAGCAATCAAATAAGAGGTCAACAAACTTCTTCAGGCTAATTTCATATAGGAAGTACATCATTTGGTTTGCCCAGATTACATCATTTAGGTTAAGAAGGCTTCAAACATAGAGGATGTGTGTTGACTATATAGATCTTAACAAAGCTTTCCTAAAAGATAACTTTTCTCTACCCTTAATAGATCAATTTTTTCATGCTACCTTTAGAAATTAAATGCTAGGTTTATGAGATACTTATTTTTGTTATTAGATAAAAATGAATTTTGTTGATGAGAAAATAACTTCCTTTCAAACATATAATTGAATGTACTATTACAAAGAAATGTCTTTTGGGCAAAAAAATGTTGGTGCAACCCACTAGTTTCTTATGAATAAAATCTTTAAAGACCTCAATAGACTTGCCATGGAAGTATATATTGACGACATGTTAGTAAAGTTTTAGATAACTCTAAACTTATTTTTTATATGAAGAATATTTTCATCTTCTTTAAGAGTATAATATTCTCATCAAACCAACAAAATATGATCTTATAGACACATCAAACAAATTTCTTAGGTTCATGGTTACCCATCATGGAATTGAATAAATCATGCAAAGATTAAAATACTCAAAAATATGATGCCTCCTAAAGTATCGAAGAAGTTAAAATGTTAAACAGAAGGATAGCCACCATATCTTATTTTGTGGCATGATCAAGCATTTGTTATCAAGCATTTTATAAGATAATAAAAAGGGTTTTGAAATATTGGTTTTCAATGGATGAATGAATGTCAAGCCTTTTCTTATCAACTCAAGATATACTTAGCTTCACCACATCTATTGTCAGACCATCTGCAACATGAAACATTGTTGTATCTTTATCTTACATTGTCTTGATATGCATAAGTTTAGTCCTGATTAAGGAATATGAAAAGGTTTAATAACTGATGTACTTGATTAGCAAAATTATTTCTCAAATTAAAAATTTTTTTATATTTTGAATGATAAAATATCCCCAACACTACTATTCTTGGTACAAAAATTGCATTCATATTTTTAAGCTCGTACTATTGGGTTCTACAAATATTTATACTGTAATTTTCTAATTGCTACCAAACTTTAAGATTTAAGATCTCAGATTGAAAAAAAAATACTTCTCATCATAAAAATTTCTGAAAAAATACTAACAAAGACAGACATTTTAAACAGAACTATAATTTATGATTTTTAAAATAAAAAGATAAAAAATTATCTCAAATCGGCCTAAAAGCCAGATGCATGTGAGTCTGCTTGTCCAAGTGTTTTCCCTTTTGCTTTTCCTTTTTCGGCCCATTTTTCTTTTCCTTTTTCGGCCAAGCCATATCTTTATTAAAACGGGCGGGTGCATCTAACTTTTTGAGCATTTCAATGGCAGTAATTATATGAACAAATGGGGTTTGACCGTTAGGAGTGCTCACCCAATCGTACACAGCAATTGTGTTACCAAGAAAATAAAAAATGATTAAAATACTAATTATTAAAATTTCTTAAATATTTATACATCCAAACAAATTCTTTTCTATTTAACAAATTCAATGTGCGAATTCAATGTGCAATGAATCGCCCAAATTAACCCAAAAACCAACCCATTACAGCAATCCCATCCAACTCCCACAGTTGAAATCCTCAGTCCTGCGCATCTTCAGCGATGGTAAATTCAATGTGCAATGAGTCGCCCAAATTAACCCGAAAACCAACCATTTACAGCAATCCCATCCAACCCCCACCATTGAAATCCTCAGTCCTGCGCATCTTCAGCGATGGTTGCATTCATCAAAGCTTCGAACCAAGCTTCCTTGTCCCCGTCAACGACGATGATTCCATAGAATTCCCAGATGCATATCTTTAACTCCAATCTTGACCTCCATCTCTGTCTCTACTGCCCTCATAACCGCCTATTTTCATGGCGGTGGCTTTTGCAACCTAGAAGTTGTTGGCGTCAGACTACCATTCATCAAAACTTCGAACCAAGCTTCCTCGTCCCCGTCGACAACGCTGATTGCATAGAATTCTCGGATGCATATCTTTGATTCCAATTTGAACCTCCATCTCTGTCTGTACCGCCCTCATAACCGCCTATTTTCAGGGCGGAGGCTTTTGCAACCTAGAAGTTGTTGGCGTCAGACTATCGGGCTGGTTCAGCTGAAGCTAGCAATAGGCGCCAAGCGGGTGGTACCAAGGCCCTGAGTGCAGGACCTTGGCGCCTAGGCGCCAGACCACTTGGGGTCATATGCTCTTTTTCACCTCCTCTTCGCTCTGCTTCTTCGCCACTTTGTTTCATATCCACAACTTGTTGTACCTGCAAGAAAAACAAAATTTACTTTTATTAAAAGTGTAATTTATCCATAAACAAGTTCAAAAGATAAAACAAATTAAGCATGCTTTAGAGCATATCATCTATTAAATGGAATTTTCGAGTCAAACAAAAAAAGACATACCTATCCGGCTCTACTATGAAAGAGAACATGTAGGAAAGCAGTTCTCGAGATTAGAAATTTTCCATTCAACTCAGGAAAACCACATAAGTCATTACTTCCGTGATGGAGTTTGACTTGATCTAGGTGGAGATCACCTAGTAGTGGTTTAAGATCAAACAAATCTTCGTGCAAAGAGCCAGCTAGAGTCCTCACTAGAATTAATCCAAGAAAAAAATTAGGTCATTCCCCAAATAATCAGTTGCTCTAACCTCTGGCTTAGCCCGATGCAGCAAGGCACTTATTTTGTATACACAAGTATCATCTTATAGCTTCACACTGAGTGCACATTTAAGGATATTGAATCTCAAAATGTCTTGTGGGTAACACCTAAAGGATGAAGTGTTGGACATAAGAGAGGAATATAGAGAAAAGAGTTAGAAGACAAGTGCACAATAAAAAGAAGGTTTTTGGAATAGATTTAGTAGTCATACCTCCCTGTTTATAAATCATAGAAATTGTCTAAGTTACTTATTTGTCATTGTTTAAATAAGAAAGTTGTAAGTAGGAACTTTATAAGAAATTAAGATGTCGTTACATCTTTATACATTTATAAGTGACATGGGATTCCTTGGTATTCGTAAAAGTCGTTGGCTCCGTTTCACATTTATAGCTATTCGATGTGGGATAAAAATGATCTGTTGATACTAACAACCGGTCCTGTCGTTCAGTTGGCTAGAAGTTCTTCAGTTGTCTGGAAGGCCTTCGTGTAGCCTTTTAGAAGTGCCTATCAGTAGGGGCCATCGGACAGAGGCCGCGTCACTGTAATCAACTTGATAGCTTTCTTTCAGGCAAGACACCTTCATAAAGGATTGTCAATTTATTTTATAGAACGACCATTGATTCTTCCTGCGAGGTATCTCAGGTTTCGGTGGAGGTTGACCTACGATCCTCCCTCAAGTCAGGTGCATGATATACTTTCCTTTAGTCAGCTCATGATTCGACCGAATGGAATGATACTTGATGTCCGTTTTTCGACTGTTCTGATCAGTCTCTAGGTATTCTCCTAGTGCGATCCGTTGAATTCTTTCGAGATTCATGCGGTCACATTTTTCATGTACCGTATATTTACAGTTTAATACTTCCGCTGTCAAGTTTTTCTCAATATGCTATTAAGCTCACGTCTGATACGTCGTTGAGATGTGTCATTAACATGTTCAGACAAGAAAAAAATTCAAACATATATTTGTAGTGTCAGAGAAATGTCATTGTCTGTCGATAAATGTCGATGTTCGATACATATCCAACAATAGTACATCACATTTTTAAAAGTGTGGATGCTACTTAAGGGCTCATGAAATTTAATAGAACACTTATGCTTCCAAGAAATATAAAATATTAAAATAGTAACTATTAAAATTAATTAAATATATTTTTTAATAAATATATTATACATTCAAACACAACTCTTTTGTATTTAACCATTTTTTATCTTATATTCATTCAATGTGCTTGCACATGCATTTTCATCCATAATAAAAGTTACCCTGCGGTCTACTAACCGTCGACCAATTCGCTTTACCGGCCGTCCTTCTTGCTCTCTTCCTCAGTCCTCTTCACTCCCCATCCCCACTACAAATTAACCCTAAAACCAACCCATACCACCAATCCCATCCAACCTCCACCCCCGCACCATGACTTCCTCGCCGAATCCCAACGCCGAAATCTTCGAAATCGAAGAGTGCCGCGGCGTCCTCCGCGTCTTCAGCGACGGCTCCATTAATCGAAGCTCCGAACCAAGCTTCCTCGTCCCCGTCGACGACGACGGTTCCATAGAATTCTCCGACGCCCTCTTTGACCCCAATCTTAACCTCCATCTCCGTCTCTACCGCCCTCGCCACCGCCTCGCCACCGACCCCCCTAAACTCCCCATCTTCTACTACTTCCACGGCGGCGGTTTCTGCATCGGATCCCGCACTTGGCCCAATTTCCACAACTACTGCCTCCGCCTCGCCTCCGATCTCCGCTCAATAATCGTCTCGCCGGACTACCGCCTAGCCCCCGAAGATCGCCTTCCCGCCGCGATTAACGATTCCTTTGCCGCCGTTCTTTGGCTCCGATCGCAAGCCCTGTGTCCGGATCCCAATCCCCTTCTCCAAGAAGCAGATTTTTCCCAAGTCTTTATTTCCGGCGACTCCGCCGGCGGGAACATCGCCCATCACATCGCGGTTCGGTTCGGCTCAGATTCCGGCCGTGCCGAGCTCGAACCGGTTTTGATCCGAGGCTATGTTCTTCTCATGCCTTTCTTCGGTGGGACCCAGCGGACCAGATCTGAAGCAACTTGTCCTCATGAGGCCTTTTTGAATTTAGAGGTCAATGATAGATTCTGGAGGCTGGCCCTGCCGGTCGGGTCGACCACTGATGATCCGATTTCGAACCCATTCGGGTCGGGCGGACCGGGGTTGAGAGAGGTGTGGTTCGGACCGATGCTGGTGATTGTTGGGGGAGAGGATTTGTTGAGGGATAGAGCAGTGGATTATGCTGAGAGATTGAAGGAATGGGGGAAGCCGATCGAGGTAGTGAAATTTGAGGGACAACAACACGGGTTTTTTACAATTCGACCACGATCTGAACCAGCTGATAGGCTGATGCACATTATTCACCGGTTCATGGTTGAAAACGGTTGTATGCTTGGTTGAATCAGGTTCAATTTAGACTGTGTCGTACTTTCTCTATTTTGCTAGTAATGTTTGCTTCTTGAACAAGTTCTCCTACAGATTTAATGGTGTCAAGCTAAAATGCATTTCAAAATTGAGTCAGGCAAATTTGCTTGGTATGATTAGTAATAAGGATAGTTTTGTTTTGGATTCAAGTAAAATATGTTGGCTTGATATATGTGTGTAAAAAATTGACCCAACATGACAATCTAATCCATTCTGTCTCTAAAAATTTTGAATTCAGTTTGATTTGATTAATTTTCGGTTAGTTTGAGTTTAGAATTTTGTCCCATTTGATCATTTGGATTGAGTTTGAGTTGATCTGTCAGCACAAAATTAAGTTATCAACTCGATATTGGCTTGAACTTGACCCGATATTGATCTAAATGTTTTTTATGCCTTAAATTAAAAGGGCTACATGCCGTTGGTTTTGGATAGTAAGGTTGAACGTACGTTGGGTTCGGGTTAAATTTTGTAACCTGTTCAATAAATGAGTTAGATTCAAGTCATGCATGCTTCAATTAAGTAAAATTTGGGTCAAACCAAGATCCCATATTCTAAACAAAATTTGCACCCCTAATTTGATGTTGTTTTATTTCAAGTCCAAATTTCCTTAGAGCCAAATTGAAATATGTTCTTCATCCTTACTTTTATAAGAAATGTGATGATAAGAAAATAAATATTTATTTATTTTTCAAAGTCCAAAGCTTTGAGAAGGCTAAAGCCATAGAGATTTTTTATTTACTACTGCAATCTAAAATTAATATTTTAAATCTTCTATTATTTTGGCTTTTATTATTTCATTAAATTTGAGGAGGTTTTACATTTTGCTCATTCGCAAGGTAGAGGTAAACTTGTGCCCACAATAATAGCCATTGATGTGGCACGTGTTGCCAATGTAACAAGAATAAGGCAACCATAAAATCACAAATAAAGATAATTGAATGATCAATGTACAATTACTGAAGCAAATGTCATATTCTATGTGTTGCAATGCCTTGTTTTATATCTTCTGTGATTTTCATGTGTTGTAATGTCTTATGAGACATATATAGGTGGTAAAATGTATGTGTGTGAGATAAGCTTATTGTGCTTAGAATGAATGATTGGTCATGAAAGTGAAAGGCGGGAGTGGTTATGGAGTGATTATGAGGTGCTTATTGAGTGATTAGAGTGGTTTCATTATGGGTTATGGTTAAGTTGGTTACACCATGGGCCAACCCCACTTTTCTTTCCTTAGTTTGAATTGAAGTGTAAGAGACATAGTTATGTAATATTTTTTGGAAGGAAAAGGATTTTTATTATTGTGTCACAAAAATTTCTTAGTGAAATTTTGAGTGTTAAACTTTGATGGAGAAAGTTTGGTGACCAACTTTATGCATATCCTTGGTGATTAGTCTTCACCATAAGCTAATTTAGTGAATAGATGCATTCTTTATTTTTTATTTTATTTTACTTAGTTATTATAAAATTCCCTTGTTATACCCTGTTGTAATTCTACAATGATTTTCTCACTTTAAATCACTATAAAATTCTGTCACATCCAATATTAAAATTAGACAAGAAGGACTAGATATTAAGATCTAGTCACACTCTATTAAAATTTTGCAGTATTGAACATTTCTAAAAATTCCTATAAAATTTAGAGGTGATATAAACCTATTCATACATCACAACCATGCATTTCAGCTCCTCGTTCTATTATTTGGAACTTCAACTAAACCCTAAATGCCCCTCTAAGGATTTTGGCCACATAGGGATTTCACCCCACCTTTTTGATTCCTACCTCTTATTCACAATAACAAACTCCAAAAAAATTATCAAAATTTTCAAATATCTTCTTTAGAAACTACCTAATTTATTCCAAATATTCTCTAGTCATCTTTTGCTAGATATTGATGACTCAAGAGATCTCTTGCTCCTCTATTAAATATTGGTGGCAAGGATGATGAGGAGTTTCTATCACTACAATCACTTCCATAAAAGAAGTTGATATCAACTTTATCTTCAAATTATTATCATGTAAGATGCATACTCATATATGATGTTATCTATTCTTTTATTATTTCTGTCTCTTTAGCAAATTGTGCGAAATTCTTATGAAGCCCCAAGATGTATTTCTTCATCAATATAACACTCTCTTTAATTATAATCTTGTAGTGGTTGTACTTCAAAATAAACATAGGTATTATCATTATTTCTAATGTTGACTCGTGCACTATATCACCACGTTAGTTTCTGTATGACTCATTCTAGATTTATTTTTGCCTAACTGTTTTTTCAAAAGATTCTAGAATAAAATTTTATTTGTTAAATGTAAGAAAGTAATAAATAAAACAAGTTAGATTTAGGAAAAAAAATTAAGGATTTGGGATTACTATTGGAGGGAAAGAAAAAATTATGTATTGAAAGTAATGATGGAGATAACAACGACAGTGGATACCAGATGGGCTAATCACCAGGGCAAACACAAATAGGGCTACTGATGGTCGCAGTTAATGTGTAGTTGAAATTTAATCTTTTGTGTTATATTTTAGTCTAATTTTATGATTTGGATTGTGTTTGTGTTGTATTTTGTAGAGTCTACTTAAGAATATTGATGAGAGAATAATTGTTGAAAATTGGGCCTAAGCATGAAAGTAGCGCCCAAGCGCTAGCAAAGTAGCGTCGAGCTCTCATAACCTTCATTATAACTAGCCTAGATATAAGACTTGAAAGAGGGGCACTAATACGTAGTTCCCATGTGTTGTAGATCAGGATGCTGATTCTTTCTTTAGTGCAATCCTATAGGAAAGAACATGATTATATGATAATCACTTAATTTAGGTGACTAAACTCGATTTATTTTCAAACTTTCTTAGATGCCTTGGATGAGATAAGGAAGAATGTTGTTCCTAATTTTCACCCAAAATTTTATCACATAGTTAAACTAAGATTCCTATGATTAAATGCAAAGGAAAAATCAATCGCTTGATAGAAAATCTCACAGCTTTGTTATAACTTTAATTTGGCCTTAACTTATACCAAAATTTAGGATTAATAACTTTAAAATCACTAAATTTCAAGTACATCAGACAAGACATAATACTTGTAGGCTATAACTTTTTTGGAGTTGACAATTAACAAGTTTCCTGTGGGATTAATACACAGACTATAATTTTATATATTATTTGATCAATATGTATATTTGCACGATTGTCGATGTTTCATAGTACTTCAGTAATATCAAGTTTTTGGTAAAGTTAATTTCTATTTTAGGAGAATTTTAGTTGAACTATGGTTATGTCATTTTTTTGTTGTTATTTCACATTGTAAACAAAAAATTAAAAAAAAAATATTATGTTTTCTTGTTTTTTATATTCTACAAGTATTCTTGTGCGACTATATTTTGGTGATTTTGTGTTAAATTTCCTTTGTGATTTGTGCACATGTCGCTATTTAGCTTTTTGTTATGAGTATTTGATTTGTTGTCATTTTCTTAATATGGTAGTTTAGTGTCTGTAGTTAGTCCTATGTTTATATGCATAGGATGCCTTCTGTCGAACTAGTTCCTTACGACCCTAAAGTTGAAAATACATCATGGTGCTATGATGCTTCACACAAGTGCTAAGGTGCTAAGAAGTTAGCATTGTAGCACCACAAACTGACACACGACACAAACAATCATACAATCACACGATATGATAAAGTAACCATGCAATCACATAATAAGATAGCATCATCATATGATCATATATAATAATATAACACTTCGGTTACCTCATAAGAGGTGTTTAGTCTTATGTGCTCACCTTGAAAATGTTAAATTTTACTTAGAATGAACCATCTCTAAAGTTTATGTAATTTGCTCAAATCTCCCTCCTAATAAGGCTTTAATCTATGATCATTCACTTTTAAAATATGAGCATTCTTTTTATCCTCATCATCAACAAATCAAATCAAATAGATATATTTTGACTAAAGTAAATGAGCCTTAACCACATGGACTTTAACTTCTCATAAAATAATTTCAATCTAAAATTGAACAATAAAATCTAATGCTTATGCTTAAATTATTTCTCAAAACACTTTTGATCGCGCTAACTCTTAGTTTTCTCATTAAGTAGCTTAGCTTTCTTAGATGCCTGCATCCTAATCTCATCCAATTTATTTTACTGTATAAAAATCTTATCTCCTAAATTTTTTAGACTTTAATTGAATTCTTTTATTATCGAATAAGTTTTATCTTCTAGTACTACTGATAAGTTACCAACTTTGGAAAAAATGATCATATAAGACGACATTATTGTAAGGGCCTTGAAGGTCGTTCTGTAAGCCCAAAGAGCATCACCTAACCTAAGATACTAATCTTTTTTACTTGGGCTGAACGTCTTTACTAATATTTTTTTAATCTTCTTATTTAAAACTTCTGATTGAAAATTAATTTTGGGGGTGGTATGCAATAAAAATTTTATGTTTTATCACAAACTTAACAACTAATATCTCAAAATTTTTTTTAAAAAAAAAGTGGCTTTCTACATTACTTATAATCACATTAGGTATCCTAAATCTACTAACATAGATTTCCTTCAAATTTTAAGAATAATCTATAAATCAAACCTAGGTAAAACCACAACCTCAGTCTACTTAAAGTCATACTCTCTATTCACAAAACATCAATTTTTTTTTTCTGAGATTTAAATTAGGGGCATTTCATTCTTTATAGATATATTTACAACACACTAACATGTATCACAATTTGTTCCATAATCATTTACTTTATTTAAAAATATAGGCCAATAAAATCCTTATTGAAAAATCTTAGAAGTAGTTTTAAATTCTCTAGAATACCCTCCAAATTTTCAATCATTCTAACTCTAATAATACTCTCAATTTCCTTTGGAGACACCCATCTCCTATTAATAAGATCCTTATAATACTTAGAAATTTATAGCCCATCTCGGAAGAATTATCTGGCATCATACCCTAAAGTTAAGTTCTTTGTAGTTTTGAATTATAAACTTAATTTTTATTTTGATTTGATTTTGATTGAATTTAATATAACAAGTTTTACTTTGAATTGGGTTAACTTTTAATTGGATTTATTTGATTTAAAAGGTATAATCGTTTTATACATCTCGGGTATATGGTTGAAAGTGAAGATGATATAGATGTGGATGTTATTAATATAAATCAAGTTGG